TCCTACTGTCAATTTAGCAATAGGGCTGCACCTTAGCTACAGCCCCCGAACTGCTTTTTTCTAATTGAATTTCTATTCTTGATGGTTTATATTCACCTCAGTTAGGTCTTTTTTGCCAATTTTTTACTTTGAAGTAGAAGTATAGGTAGGCAGGTAGGTTTTGTCAACCGGAGTCCTAACCAAGTTATTTTATCTTTGCCTTTCGGCAGGAAGTCATCCTGCAAACTGGATGTTTTCGGACCTTCTCTCCCTGGAAGGATCATCTGAGCTTCAAACTGAGCTGGTGATTCAGACTGGAAGTTTGGATCTACTTTCCTCCCACGGATTGTTTGAGCTTCACACTGAACAAGGGATTAATCTCCACACCAACCTGTTCAAGTACCGCAGGAAATCCAAGTGGCAGTAAGTTTCTCCGTTCACCTAAAAACAACCGTATTCTGGATATACCCTGTCCGCCCTCCACCGAATCAGACAAACACTGGAACTACCGCACACAGACTGGAGTGAAAGAGTCAACCACTTTTCTGGAAACGTGAGTCAGCAACCTAATTCTTTTCTTCAAGTTCAAGAATCAAATTTCCCACTGAGCCTGAACTAACCGCAGTGTCTTCCACTGACTTTCCAGTTCCGGTTGAGCAGTGTTCAGAGCAACACTAGATCCTGCATTATCTCCACAATAAACCTGTTAAACCTTTTCCCTGGTCTCTGAATTAGTTTCTCTGCATGAGGGTCCGAGCTCTTGATAAAATCATGACAGTGTCCAGTGTAGTTCTGGATCGGGGCCCCGCCTGATACTTGTATCGGTGCAACACTAATTATGATTGCCACATATGTTTCTGTAGTCCATCTATATCTTCATATAATACAGGGAGTTAATACACCACTCAAATTTGTACACATTTTTTCCCGCTTTGCTCCTTAGTTCATATACCGTTTGTTATTTTGAGATGTTGATTCTGCTCCTTCTTTTTAAGGAATGTTTCAGCCTAATCCACAACAGCTTTTTTTAATTATTATTCATATGTATTTGTTTAAATTTGTAACCCTCACACCCCTTTCTGATATTAGAAACTTATTTGATATCAACCCCTTTTTTGAGCTGTTTTTCTGTCTCATATGTTTGCAATAATAAGTTGAAACGTTGATCCTTATGTTGTTTCCACTATGCGGTTTCTCATCAACTTGCAGGTGCAAATCAGTGAAATAATGCATGTTTGGTTCTAGCTTGAGCTAAATGCTCAGCACCGCGGTGCTAATGTCTCCATCACTGTGATGCTCCGATTAAAGCAGAATCAGTTCCAGCCTAAACAATAAATGAATTACATACAAACCATTTCATTTGAATATTTTTTTTTTATTTGTCGCGCAACATAAAACAATATTGTGGGGTTTCCAACCACATACACTATGTATTCACATAATACACCATACAGCTACAAAGAGAGGGAGAAAGAGACTCAACAAAAAACACCTCTTTTTTTTTTTTTTTACATACTGCATCATTGAGACAAAAATAAAAGAACCAAAAACAATCCTACAAATCAAAAAGGAATGTAGCTGCCACTTATGTAGGTGCATTTTTACTTTTCATCTGGGCCAGGGTTCAAGTCTCTGTTTCTTATTTGGAGAATTGGGTGTTTCTATTTCCTAGCAATAGGGCAAAGAAAATGAGATGCATGTTTTTCGTCTGTGAGTGATTCAGAACATCAAACTATAGTATAAGGTTAGAAGTAATAGATGGGTATGAGGAAAAGGAAGTGCATGACAAGGGAGTTAAAGAGGCAGGCAGTACACAATTCCGGGATTGTTCAAAAACCTTAGCATTCGTCTAACATGTACATTTACAACATCCTCAAAAAAATTACTCTAATAGACTTTGGTACTCGCTGTACCAAATATAAACCCCAAATAACAGTCCTCATATATTCTGATTCTACTTCTCATCCTAAATTCACTGGCTTGAAGTATACTTGTGGAATGAATAACATGATCGGCGTCAGAAAGAGATGTAGCGTTGTAACAAAAGACTTTTATATAAAGCCAGCACCGAAGGGAATCTTTCCTGAACTATGAAACTGCTTGGATTCAAAATACAGTTTTATTGACATTCAAGGACCTCAGAAAAAAAAAATATTTGTGGTATTCAAATTTTTTTTTTTTTTTACACAGTGAATTTTAAGGTGTTAACATCATAGCACCACCTCTCTGACCTGTGTTCTTCCCCAATCACAAAATATCCCACCTTGTGAGAACCCCCAACAGAACATGTGGGACATTAAGAGATTTACAAAGTAAGATTAGAAATGTGGGACACAACATCCTCAGCACCATTAGGATAGTATAATGTGGTTTATGTCATATGCTCAAAAAGGTAAAACAGCACCGGTGGAACTCCTAATTCCGCTGTATGCATCCTAGAATATAAGAAACACCAGAGGAGTTAATTAGAGACATATCTACGAAAGCAGGGCAGCAGCAGCTGGCCTGATGGTCTGACTCAAATGGGAGTGATTAGCAGGCTTTAGCTTATCTCATTAAAAGACTGTTTTCTGATCCAAGCCATTGCTGTCATTAAGTTCGATCTCCTCATGCTCAATATCCAGATAAAGTTGATCAATTAAACTTTATATGTGGGCACAAAACTGTAATCCAGGGGTTCCAGTTTAAATTGTATTCTATTAAGGAAGTAAGTTCCACAATGGGTACTGTCAGATACCACACATCACTTACCTGGGCTTATGAATTACCTTCTGTATAGCAATGACACTCTGTCATTACCGGCTGTTATGGGGTACAGTACTTATGAAAACAACAGCAGTGTAACTGAGGGAAAGTTTACACACAACACATCAAGAGCAAGTGTTGTAAAGGGTTTGCTGAGAGTTTAGCATACCCCCTATGTCATTATGATTTAGTTACTATCCTCACCAGTTAAATAATCTTACCTAAATAGTTTAATATTTACATTTTGTATCTCTCTCTAGAGAAAATGAAAACAGCAACAAAAAGAAGAAAAACCTAGGCTTCAAGTTGTCAATAATCGGTTCTTTCTTTTGTCTTTAAAATCAAGATTAAAAGTGCTTTTATAAATCTTTTCTTATCTATTTACAATTTGTATTAGCTATATAAAAAATTAAAAAGGAAATAACATCAAAGACAATCATCATCATCACAATGTAGTAATAAATAAGAGTAAAAAAAGCTAGTTTAAAATGAGTGTAGAAATCTAGAGCACACAAAGGGACATGCAGGACTTTCTGCCCTCAGTAGCAAGTTGTGATCGTGACCAGTGTCTCTACAGCATGAGGTAGAGAGCTGGAGGCCTTTCAGGGGAAGGATCAGGATCCTTCACCTGGGTCTTGACCAAAACAACAACTTCTATAGAGTTGTAGGTCACTCGTTATCATTTTCAATAAGTAAACTACGGGATCGTGTAGGAAGAAAAAGATAAGTGATTCAAAGCACTCTGACAATGCTATCAAGTAGCCTCTCTCTTTGGTTTTGGGTATAAAGCCGTTCTTCCAGAAAAACACTATCATACACCTCCAGTACACAAAGTGAGAGATTATTTGATCTGCATTCGGCTCCTACTCCCTGAAGCTACAGTAATGCATTACAGTTTGCCTCTCAGTTCTGTTCTCTCAGTGGATAGCACTGCTGATGTGTTACTAAGGTGTGTCAGGTCTACCTGTGCTTTCTTTGCCCTGGACAATGTAGCTCTGTTTCTTTCTGCTAGGGTAAACACTAAAAACACCTCAACAGAAACCAACTCTTGAGCCCAGTGGCAAAGCTGCAACCCCAAAAAACTATTTGATGGCTGGCTTTGTGGAAACAAGGTGCCTATTGAAGGACTTGCCTGGTTCTGCCCAGTGATGACAGCACCATACAGAGGAAGGACTGGGCTCTCTGCAGTAAATCAAGTTTAAAAGGACAGCACCAAAATGTGAGTAAGAGCACCAAGCCCACTGCAGTCCAATCAGTAAATCCTTCTCTTGGAGATTAGGAATAGCTTTCCATATGCATAGCCATACTTAAGCCACACCTGTTCCTAGAAGGGACAACAAAATCAGCTTGAGCTGTCTCCCAAAGGCCAGCAAACAGGGGAGGAGGACCCCATCTACTGGCCTTGGATGGTTAATGCAGCAAAGCAAGGCTTCACTTGTTTCTGAAAGAACCTCAAGTGCTTATTGAATTTGCAGTCCCTGTTGCCCTCTAGAGTTCACTCTGGAAACTTTTTTATCCCTAATAAACGTAGGAAGATAAGGAGCACAACTCACATCAAACCTATGTGGAAATTGCTGATCTGACTCGAAAAGCATTTGCAAATTTTCTTATTTTCACTTCTGTGAAGAAAAAGGAGACCTCTATATTAACACCTGTCAAAAATAACAAATCCCCCTTGCCAAAACTAGTCGAGGCAGATTTGAGCACCAAAATACAGCATCAAGTGCCATGAAGAGAAGCTGATGGAAAACTGGTCAGATCCAGAGTCGAGCACCAGTTGAAAATTCTTGGAGTGCAGATAAATAGGAGGAGCACATCAACCTAGCCACAACCAGACAAAAAGTGAGTCTGCCTTTTCTGTGCTCACAGGTAAAGGAAACCTATTTTTTCAGGAGGTTTTTCAAAGAAGTATATAATAATTTATAAAAACAATTCCAGCCAAATTTCAGAGGAAGAGACTGGACTTAACTATTCCAGGGTTAAAACTAAATAACTTTGGGCTTTAAATCACTCTTAGGAGTTTTTGTTATGATATAAATTTCTGGAAGATATCTTGGTCAGATCCATATTTATGCATGTGGCCAATTTTGTTTTCTATAATATCACTTTTCTGTCTGATTGGGCAGATTAGTGCTTCTCCTATAGATAGAGTTTTAAATTGACAAAGAAAAAGGAAATCTAACAGGAAAAATGGGTACTGTTTTTCAAACATGGAAAAAGCAAATTGGGGTACTGATTAAAAATATTTAAAAAAATAATAATAAAAAAAAAACAAGTATCCCATTAATATTAACATTAATGAAAACAGCAATAAAAAACAAGTGTTCATTATAATAATACCTGTAATAACAACATTGACAGTAACAATAGCAATCATAATAATAGCAATAATTAGAATCATTAAAATTTTATGAACAAGAAAAAAAGCAATGGAGTTCCTCTCCAGAAATGAGAGAGGAAGAGCACCACAGGCAGTGTGTCTGCAGCCCAAACCACTGCCTGACATGAGGTAAAAACAATAAAAACGTCCTCTCCTTATAGATGTTGAAGAGGGCTGGATGGAGAGATGCCAGACTGTAAAACAGCAAACAGACATTTCCGTTTTGCTTGTTGCCTTCCCTACTTGTCCAATGCACCACTTTAGGGCTTTCAGTCTTTCTGTGTCTGTCTTGCCCTTAGACAAAGTGGCTGTAGGGCCCAGTGACACGAGTGAAGGCATAGGGAGACACAGTTACCATAGAGGTGGTGTAGAACGTGTGAGATAACCGTGTCACTGGGCCATCCTTCTTGTCTTTAGACTGCCCAGGTCCTGGACTAGCACCTGCCAACAGAGACCCCCATTTGCGTTTCTTCCCGTGTGCCTTGATGTCTTCCTGGGAGAGGCCAAGGAGAGCTGCTTCCTGCTGCCTCTGTAGTTCTCGCTCTGCCAACAGCTTCATTTTGGCCTCCCACACGGCCAGGCCGTGCATTGGCTGATTAAGGTTCTTGTGCTGGTAGAACACCAGGGAAATGCGACTGGGATGGGTACGATCAGGTTTCTTAAGTGGAGTGGTAGCATGTAGTTCCCGACGGGCACATTCTATGAGGACGGAACCATGGGCTGGTGCTACTGCAACACCACCGATTGTGGGATCCAAGAAGTTGTGTTCACTGTCAGACCACACCTCATCATCTTCCTCACGATGTTTTGAACTTTCAATGTCACTCTCAGCTCGACAGGGGTCGTAATGGGCCTGATCAGACTGTTGCAGCACGTCAGGGAACAGGCGACCCTCTGGTGCAGGGGATGGGGTGCTGCCGGCAAATGATCCTCCACAAGATTTCCAGGCCTTTTCTTGGATCCCCAGGGGAGTGGAACACCGATTCTCCCCAGTCTTTGACCACATCTTATCAGGATAGGCTCCTGCCACACTGCTGTGTTTCAAACCGGGGCTATAAGCTCCAGGTCCGATACCCCAAGGATTTGGCTGAGGGCTAGGAGCAGGACTAGCCCAGTGCCTATTGGTAGGTTGTCCTGGGGTCATTGGGCCTGGGGTGGCTGGACCTGGGGTGCCTGGTCGTAGAGTGTTTAAGCCTGGGGTACTTGGACCTGGGGTTCCAGTGCGAGGGGTGGATGGGCCCGGAGTGCCTGGTCGTAGAGTGCTTAAACCTTGGGTACTTGGACCTGGGGTTCCAGTGCGAGAATTGGGTGGACCTGGAATGCCAGTGACTATGGTGCCTGGACCTGGGGTACCAGGCTTTGGAGTCATTGAACCTGAGTGTGAGGTAAGAGGTTGTGGTGTACCCGGATAAGGAGCACTGTGGCAAATGGAGCCTCGGTATAGGTTATCCTGGAACCCAGTGCCAAGGTGAGGAGATGAAGGTGGAGATGCAGGTACCTGGAGTGTTGGATTGGTAGAGGCTATGTGGGGGGTTGAGCCAGGGAGGGATACCCACTGTGGAGGATAAGGGGACGACTGACGCTGATGGGCATGCTGGTGAAATTGCTGCTTGTCTACATTTATTGAGGAGACATCAGGACTTTGTCCACGGTTTATATGGCCATCCCAGTTATTTGGAACAATGCTTCCATTAATCTTATAACCAGGCCACTGCGCAGGCTGAGGGGTGCTTCTTGATGTATTGGCACACGACTGGTTTGGTAATGCACCTTCATAGACTGGCACATCCATGGGCTCTTGTTTGATGAGTGGTGTGCTTCTGTTGGAGGTCTCAGAGGAGACAGAAGAAGGACGGGACAGGTTATAGTTTGCAGGCTGGCTATAAGAGCTATTATTTTGTTGGTTGTTTTGCTCTGGGTGGCTGATTGAAGACTGATGCAATTGGCCCTGAGGGCTCTGAAGGTCAGACTTTCTATCTGCATCAAAATGTTTACTTCGACTATACGTCTTCATCCCAGGCCCAAAAAGGGTATTTCGGCGCTGGTTGTAGTAGCCATAGGGTCTTGCTGGCAAATCGGGGTGGTAGCCATTTACTGTGTCTGCGGTAGAGGGCTGGCCTGCTGGGGAATGGGCTCCCCTTGCATAGTAGGCAGGATTCTGATAGATGTTATTGAATGGGTCTGACGCCTGCACAGGGAATCCGTCTATTGATCCATTAAGGGGCTCCATCTTGATGTTTGGCTTCATCTCCTGTTTTATCATTTCTGAAAGACAGATTACAAATCAGTGCAACTTTTTCACTCCAGGCCCTGTATTGAGTAGTTTAAGCGCATTTCACTCTACATTTTTGAATTATGGAAATACTTAAATAAGGTCAGGTCAGAGCAAAGGTTTACAGTAGGTTAAAAAAAGAAAAATAATTAAATTATCATTACATCTTTAGTTTAACCTAAGTGACAATCAAAAACCCCAAAAGAATGACTAACCTTTATTGCCCAATACGTGAGGAGAGTTGGTGATGCACCGTTCAGTCTTGATCACTGTTTTCTCAGGTGTTTCCCCTGCCTGCTGTGCGAGCTTATTTTTCTTCTTCTCTGAGGCAGCCTTCTTGGCATCCAGCCTACGCTGTCGGCAAGATTTAGCAGGCTCGGGTAACTTGCGTACCTCACGACGGAAAGCTTGGAGTACTTGTATGGCTCCAGTCTCCATCTTGCGGCGCTGTGCCTCTGCGCTGCCAAACTCGTCTGTAAGTGATACTGTGTACAGTGGCAACACATGGAGCTGCTCATCTTCAGGGATCCCCCCTACATTTCGGTTGTCCTCCTTAGTCAAAGTACACACCTAACAAAAGATAAAAAGTAACATATCAGATATGCAAAAGCACTTAACCTGATGCTTTGCAAAAGAACTGACATCTCTTGAAAAGTTTCACATTTTGTCACATTGCCACAATCATCAATGTATTTTGGCATCAGTCTTTGATAAACCTTAATCAGAAAGTGGGAGATCAATTTTATCATGTTTGCATAAATTTCCCACAGTGGACCTTGAAAAGTAGTGATCATCCATGATCACTAGAAGAGCAGATATATCCCAGATTGCTTTGCAAGAGCTCTCCTTGCAAAGCATTATAGGATTTGTTGTCACAGCGGCCCAATGTCGACTTGTGAAAGCAAAGAAAAATAACAAAGATAGTGCATGCACCATGCGGGGAGCAAAACAGTAGACATCATCGGTCTGCAAGGTCAGTTTACTGAGTCCACTATATAATCCCCGCTCTATATTGTGATTGAGGGATTTAGGGTTTAAGGTGGACGTTCGGACACAACAATTGCCTTCTGACATTGCAGAACAAATATAAGAAGTATATATTTTTTTGTTATTTTAATTCCATGTAAATGCAGCTTTTCTGAGAGGTTCCAAGAGCTTTCATATAGTAAATTAAAAGATAATTTTAAAGACTGGCTGTGACTAACAATTATTTTAGTAATAATGATAGATTTGTATCGTTTTTCAAATACTAATTAAGTAATTAAAGTAAAAAGGTAGTGAAACTAGCAGCCAGTTTAGACTTTTTTCTATTTTTTCATAAGCAAAAACACAGACATTCTGTAGCTGGAGTACTCCACCAGTGCAGTTCGGCAAGCGACATCATGACTATTGGAGAGAGTGGGAAGTTAGTTCTGAAAAAAGGTAAAAAATTATCTGTCGTTTGGAACTGGTTTGGGTTTGCTGCGACAGAAGTGGAGTTGCAGTTAAAGGCAGCAGCAGCACAAACCAGTCTCTCCAGGACGAACAAACCAACAAACCTCAGCTTGAAACTGATGTTGAAAGGTGATAATAATTTAATTTAATTCAGTCTATCTATAAAGCTCCAATTAACATGGGAACAGCTGCATTCAGAATTATTTCTGTAAATTGCCTTGAGATATCATGTGTTGTGAATTGGCGCTATATAAATAAACTGAATTGAATTGAACACGTCACCTCAAGGCACTTTAAAATTCAACCGATCATACAGTCAAATCGATTCAACATTTCCTATCTAAGGAAAACCAGTTAATTGCTTCAACTCATTGGCTTGAAGGCAATCCCTCACACCAAGCATGCTCGTAGCGACAGTGGAGAGGAAAAACTCCCTTTTAAATGGAAGAAACCTCCAGCAGAATCAAGCTTAATGTGAGCGTCCGTCTGCCGAGGCCGACTGGGGTTCAAGGAGACAGAAGCAGACATAGAGAAAGAAGCAGAGCTACAAAAGGGAACTTTAAACCAGCTCCACAGGCAGAAAGCTCCGAGCCACCTCTGATGTCAGAGGATGAAAAGAGCAAAACAAACATACCAAACATCAACTGGAAATGTTTGTAGAAGCTAGGGTGATTAGCAAGTCTGTTGGCATTAGTTAAAAGGATCGGACTTTTCTTATGGTAAAGAAAATGACTTTATGTGGTGATTTTCTCATCTCATGAAATGTTTTTATTACGAATATGCTGGATTACTTTTTAGCTGTGGACCCTTACGGACAAATGGAATGTAAACAACCTAAGATTGGCTTTACATTCAGGATCACTTCAAACGTAGGAATTGGAAGCTTAATTTTAAAAATTCTGATTTAATATGCTGCTATATCTTTATTAATTGTGCTTTGGTGCTCATGGTGTCCATTAAAGGAACTTGGTTAAATTGTGTAGAATCTAAGCTTTCTAAGGATGTATAACATGTACATATGTGTTAAGAGGTGGCGGGGAAAATTGGAAAAAATGGTAATTTCTAAATAAAAATGAAAAAATCTGAGTTTTTATTGTTAGGCCATAACACCCATATAGCCCTATGTAATAATTTCATTTAGTGCATTTTTTTCTATTACATTTCTTAAATATTTCACAGAAATTTATTTCATTATGTTATATATTTTAATACAGAAAAAAACAACACAAATCCACAGAACGGAAAAAAAACAATCTCTAAATGTACAGTATAACGACAGCGCGTATAGCTGATACATGTATTCTGATCTGTTGAGGAGCCTCTTATATAGAGTTAGTTTAATTTGGCAGTAAGTTTGGTGAGATTTTAAGTGATCCCACAGTTTTCAAATATTTATTTATTTAGTTTTTTGACGCTTCTTTTTCACCCTTACTTCCTCCCTCCAAAGCTGATAACTACACTTGGATTATGAGCAGCATAAGCCACTGTTAATGTACAACACACAGAGACACCCAGCATAAACACAGGGTCTGAATATGTAAATACAATTCAATAAAACATCGAGGCAGATCATTTCGCTTAAGGGACATTAGTAACCGGCTAACTTGAAATATATTAGCAAGCAGAAAGCAAAAACATTACAACTGCCCATCATCCTAATCGGTTGTCCTGTAAAAGTATATTTCCGGGAAAAAAATGGCCTACTCAAAGTAACTTCATCTAATTAGGACACCCTGACAACACTTAATAATTAATGCTCAGTCTGCCTGAACTTCAGCAGTTCTGCTAACAAGAAAGGACAAATATTTCCTTCGTTTATAAAAATACTGTATCCCAAACTGATTTTTCCCCCACTTCATAATTATGAGGTACTTGGTGTTGGTTGGTTACATTTAAACCAGGGGTTGGCAACCCGCGGCCCCGGAGCCGCATGCGGCTCTTTAGCGTTCCCCTTGTGGCTCCCTGGAGCTTTTTCAAAAATTAATGAAAATAGCTTTTTGGGTTTTTTTTTGTTTGTTTTAATATGGTGTGCAGGAGGTCAAACAAAAATTTATAATAATTATGTTTTCCAATGCTGTAAACATTTGTATAATAAATAAATTTAAACAATAATTTGCGTCATAGCCATAGAGATCAGTGGTCATAAGTTGCAACCAGCGCTGCGCGGTGTCAGGCAAACAAAGCTGCTGGAGTTTCTCAGACCATGGATCCCAAAGAGGAAAAAAGGAAGATAGCTGTTGAGAAAAGAGAATTCAAAGGATGGACCGAATCATTTTCTTTCATTGTCAATGTGGAAGGATTGCCTGCATTTTTGCCTGGTAATGAGAGGTTGGCAAAAAATAAAAATAAAAATTTGGAAAGGCATTTCCAGGGAAGGCAAGCTAAATATGCAGCCGATCACAAAGGTGTGAGGGAGAGAAAAGGTGTGATTGCAGAACTTCTGGATAAATTGCTCTGTTGCTCCCAACAGAAAACCACCATAAAAAAATTCCTGTATTGTGTTTCTATCATTTCATCAATGCAACAAAACTTAAACCGTGAATGCTTATTATATATTTAAGCCCACAAAGTCCTTTTCTATAGTTGGATAATACGCTTAGAGCCCGTGTTGCCATAAGAGGCTTATATAATACTTTTACATTTTTGCGGCTCCGGACAGATTTATTTTTTGTTTTTTAGGTCCAATATGGCTCTTTGAGCAGTTTGGGTTGCCGACCCCGGATTTAAACCCAATTAAAAACCCAATCAAAGTTCATGGTCTTAATGTGACGAAATGTGAAAGGACTAGGATCTGTGTTGACACCCTTAAAAAAAACAACAGATTCCAGATGATGATCAGGGAGTTTACCACTGTGCAGCCATTGTGCAGGTTATGCTGGTCCTTATGAGCATGGGCGCAGAAGTCCATACAAGCTGTGATTCCAGAGAACGGACGGCCTTCCTTCAAACCCAGCCTGCACTCTGGAGCTCGGTGCTCTGCTGCACACTGAGGTAAAGGAAAATGTTTAAATTAGCTACAGAAAGGAACCATGTGATCAAACTTACTTGCTTGCATTTAGCACTGATTCAACTAAATTAGTTGTTGCTTTAGTTTAGACTAAAACATATGCTAAAGTGAAATGGGTTAAATAGCGCACAGGCTTGTGAGTTTCAGATTAATTTGTGATTAGCCTGGGCTACAAACCTGGTTGCTGTATGCCTGTGGGGCCAGTCGCTTGTACAAAGGAGCCACCTCCGTCGCTAGATTTTGGAAATTATCCCTGAGTTTCTCCTCCTGACAGGCAGAAACATTAAAAACATTAAAAACTTCATAGAACTCGCAAACTATGAGAATTCTAGGAAATGAACATAAAGGAAAAAAATCCAAACATGTGCAGCAGTTTTGATGTGTTTGATGCGTACCTCTTCAGGATGATCTCCTTGAAGCCTGAACTTGCGTGGTGTTTTGCTTCGGGCGTATTTACAGCCATTAAAGTACATACTCCAGGAGCAGCCGAATGAGAAGGAAGCACCACATTTTTCTGAGTCTTTACCCTGACAGGCACAGGTACGACTGCAAGGGACAGAGACCACAAACTCTCAACTGCCTTAAAAAATGTTAGACATCCTGTGCATTACATTTTTATTTTTGAGTTTTGAAAATATTTGTGGAGAACATCAGGCAAATATATATAAGAAAACAACATAAGAAACAAAACATAAATATTCATTTATCATGAAACTGTGTTGGAGAAAATATTAAACAGCCATAAAAGCATACAGCAATTCCTCACACTGAGCCTGCATGCAGCAATGGTGGTTCTTTTAACAGAACCAGACTCAGTGTGAGCAGCTTTCTGTCAAAGCTAACTTGGGGTTTTAAGGACATAGATGCAGAAACACAAAAGGAGCATAGAAGCAATGATTCCATAAATACTTTTGTGTTAGGAAAAGTAACAGTAAAGCAGCCCCATAGGTGGCTCGTTCTAGGAAAATTAAGGCAAGCAAGCTCTGAGACAGTTCAAAAGCCGAAACTGATAAAAGTATTATTCACAGTAAAAGCTGAGCCCATAGCTATGTCTAGGAAAGCAACAGGACCCTACACTAAAAAACTGACATCAGTTTCATTCCTGATTCCTGATATCCTGCTCAGGCAGCTGGTGCAGAATCATTGCCCTCTATGGCTTTTGGTTGATTCTGAATGTAAGCTTACATTTAAAAGAATGTGAGAACAAAAAAACAAAAAACTAAACTATAACCTTAAGAAATTAATAAAATAATGTATTTTACACTACCCTTGAAAAACCGTGCCGAGACCAGTCTGAGCTCAGTAACTGAGATAACTTATCGTGTGTAAATGGAAAGCAAACTGAACTGAACCGAGCTAGACACAACCGGACCGCGCTAACTGCAGACCAGTTCCAGAGGTGGGCTCAGCTCGGTTTTTCCCTGGCTCGGTTCTCTGATAACAAGAGCGCATGAGCAGAACGCGTCATCTCAGTCTGGCTGCACATCCCGATTCACACTCCATTCCAGTAGTTGGCGCTAATGCCCCTCCAGAAACAGAAGAAGAAGAACCACCCCTTCCTCAAGTATAAACAACAATCGAAATCTTCTCCTCGCAACATTTTAAATGATGGTATTTTAAATAATAACACCTAAGTACAGCAATAATAATCAAGCATAACTTTCTGAATGTGGCGGGCGCCGCCATTTTGATTTGCTTGATTCCCTCCTTTTGTCTTCTTCTTCTTGTGTTTTCTGGCGGTTGGCAAACAACTTTTGGTGCATTACCGCCACCAACTGTTTGATTTCCTCCTTCAATACTGGCAGTAATGCCGCAGATCGTCACAAGGAGGCGAGGAGTCGAGAAATTGAGATAGCGTGATGTGTAAACAGTCGTCAGAACGAACCGGTCTCCGCATGGATCGGTTTTTCAAGGGTAGTGTAAGAGGGGTAAAAGTTGCTGACTGTAATTATCATTTTTGTAATTCTACAGATCGCTTAACATCTGTGCAAAAATACAGCATTGTTATATTATATTGAAGAGCCAAACAACATTGTTCTTCTATTCACAGAAAAAAAAAATATCCTTAGTTTCCTTTCTTTGGTGTTTACTTGTAGTCATTTGAAGAACGGTTATTCTGGAATGTGCAATGTTGCTAAAATACAGAACCAATTTATGGTGTTGAGATGAGCATGTCCTTTCAGCTACTCACTCGTCATTGAGCCCGCAGCGTCGGCTGGTGGGGTTGCCATATTTTGTGAGGGTGTCTGTCACCTCATGGTAAAGCTTGTCTGCCAGGGCTCTTGGGATGCCTTCCCAGGCTAAAATGACGATGACGATGACTGCGTTTGCACAGTGGTGGCCAGCACGCTGACGCACCAGACACAGCAATTTCTCTTTCTCACTGCTTCGACGAATCACCTGTTACAAGATCAAATACTGCATGAAGTGATTCCATTTTTAATCCACAAACTCAAAAAACAACATGTTAATTAGATTTCAGAAGCTAGTGTTTTCAGTGTTTGCAGTAGCTTTGATTGTCCAGTAGATGTCCAGCACACATAATGTATTTTATAATGAAGAGGGAGGGGTAGATCATGAGTTCACAGAAGCCTTAAACCAAAACATATTTACACACTGGAAAAATCTAAATCTAGATAAGTCATTTTTTCTTAAAATAAATGCATTTGTTCTTGGATTGAGGAGGTAAAAGAGACATCTTGCCAACGGAACCACACAATTTACATTTAAAATAAGAAAACACAATTCTACTGTCTTATTTCAATTGCATTTTATCTAATTATCTTATTTTCCTTTACCTGCTCAAATTAAGGGTAAATACACTTAATTTAAGATATTTTTTTTACTTATTTCTAGATATTTTTTTCCAGTGCAAACTTAAACCCAAAAAGATTCATACAAATCACAAAAAAAGAGAAAATCTTTTCCATAATGTCCAACGTTAAATCAGCCAGATTTTCTTAAGTCTTTGTTACTTAGGCAAACCAAATGAAGCTCTAATTGTTTTTCTTTCAGTTCTATTCATCTTTTAAACTATATTCACCAGTACTTCTGCAATCCTCTCACAACATATTGCTTGAATATTTATTTATTCCCTCTGAAAGACGAAGTAATTGAATCATTTTGTAGCCAGATTTGCTTAGAGAAACACCTTTTCAGCTCAGCCCGCACGTCTCCCATAGGAACGCGATGAGGACTTTGTGATTGGCAATGCAAGACTTCAGATTTGTTGTTCTACGGCAACTTTGTGATCAATTTGGAGGCTTTCTTAAAATCAAGTAGAGGTTTAACTTCCTAGCCCATGTCTCGAGATGCTGCTTGAATGTTTCTTCATAGCATTCCTTCTTCCTTCCTAAACTAAAACCCCTGCAAACCTCACTTGTGTGTTTTTAGTCAGAAATTCGAATTGTTCTTCCGAATCACAATGGTGATTATAGCACAATAGTTTGTGTTTTCATTAGACCAAATGACATTTCTCCAAAAACAAACGTTTTTGCATTTGCATCACATAATCTAACGAAACTCTCTCGTTAGCTTTAGCCACATCTTCATAAGGTCATTTGCTTTTCTTTCTGTTCATATCTAAAAATTTTCAGCCGAGACACAGAACCTGTTTCCAAGATTTTGTCATTTGTTCAGTTCCAACATCTCCACATTCTCATGCTGTTTATGTTTGCATATGATTCTTAGAACAGAGAGATGTGGGACCTAGAGGCAAATGTAAATTGTACCCAAGTGTGCCATGAACCAGTTTGTGGGAGTCCACAATTTTCTTTCTGATAGCTTACCAAATTTCTTTCCATTTTTTTTTTATTCTGTTTGGTTTGGTGTTTTTAAATAGTAAGACTGTATATTGTATTTCTTACTGTGGGGAACAAGTTTGTTTCTCTGCACCACCCAAATATGCACAAAAATACATTCCTTCCATACAAATCAGTGCTTGATTTGCTGTCACACTTTTCACGATGGCCACACATGTTTTTTGAAACACTGATTGTTGGCTTTAAGTGTCCTGTTATCTACCACCCACTGTTGGGCAAACAGTCCTACTTACCCACTTGGCAATTGGACAACCATGGGAGCTCTTTCCCTCTTTGCCTGTGTAAACCACCTTCTCAATCCGGACGGCTTCCCCCTTCTCTCCATATCTACAAGGAAACAGACAATTTAGCCACAAAACACAATGGAGAAACATTCCTCCTGATAACTGCAAATTGTAAAAGTATGGAAATGTTTGTAAAGTTGTAGGGTAGCACTTCATCAGCTGATCCAATTAGCCAAACAGAATGATGTTTTTTTCCTCCATCCATCCATTTTCTTACACGCTTGTCCCGAGTGGGGTCGCAAGGGGTGCTGGTGCCTATCTTCAGCAGTCAATGGGCGAGAGGCGGGGTACACCCTGGACAAGTCGCCAGTCCATCGCAGGGCAACACAGAGACACACAACCATTCATGCACACACTCACACCTAAGGACAATTTAGATAAGCAAATCAACCTAACAGTCACGTTTTTGGACTGTGGGAGGAATGCTTTTTTCCTATCCATACAAAAACTTTAATGGTCATTGTATGAAACACATTCAGATGTTAGGCTGTAATACTGTTTTGGTATAATATACTCTCTTTTAAGTGCAGAAACCCAGAAAAAGCCTTGGAACATAGAGTGACACAAGGTTTGCACATTATTTGTATTATTTGTACAGTAAAAGTCATCCTTTTGAAGCTATCTGGAAATGAATTAATGCACTAAACTTCCTTGTTTAATAGGAATGAGTTAGTAGATACCATGCCTGATATCCAATTGAATTGCTTTAACACAAGCTGATGTTAGTTTATTGTGTGTTTCTTTGTTTACAGTATATGCAACAACTTATGATTGCATGTTTTTAAATTCAGCATTAAGAACAATTCTGAATTTCCCAGTAACCTTTAACGGCATCAGGGGCTGAATCCTTTTAAATGTAAATGTAATGTAAAATTTACCGTAGTTCCTATGCTCCACTTATCTGGAACAAACTTCCAGAAAACTGTAAAAGTGCCTGAGTTCCTTTAAATCAAGACTAAAAACACATTTTTTTAGGATTGCCTTCGACTGTTCTAGTTAAACAGTTCAACTAAAACATATTTTCTTTAA